GCAGTGAGCGACACTCTCTCTCTCCCCCCCTCATCATCTCTCTCTCTCTCTCTCTCTCTCTCTCTCTCTCTCTCTCTCTCTCTCTCTCTCTCTCTCTCTCTCTCTCTCTCTCTCTCTCTCACTCTCTCGCACTCACTACTATCATCAGCATGTCCACTCCCCTCTTCTATGCAGGATCTCTCCCTGAACATCGAAGTGATGTTTCCACTTGATGGCGCACTCACCACCAAGCAAGAGCTCTCTCGTACAATCGCCCGACGCAACAGCGCGATCCCACTCCAAAAGGAACAGAAACAATAGGTTACCAGATGGCAAGTCAGTTGCCCTACTCCAGCTATGGCTGTCTTCTTCACCACAGTGCACTGCTTGATTTCGGGAACCAGCACCCCGCAGAATGAATCCTCCAAAAACGAATTCTGCAGTTTTGTTTTCCCGTTGCCCTTTGAAGCCGCTGGATACTTGTTGAAGGCGCACTAACTGCATGAACAGTACTACACATCGACTTCACGTACATGCAAGATCAGGTCTCAGTTTTGCTTTGATCGGCTTCACAAGCACAGTCAACGCTTACGGCAGGGTATAGCAACAGGTAAGGGCACAGGTAAGTCGACACCAGGCCCAGGCCCGGGGTTAAAACTCCAACAAGGTAACAACAACAGCAACAGGTACCGGGATTGAATCACGACAGGCTAGGAAGGTGAATTGCCTGTCTGTCTATCTGTATGTGTCTCCCTCTCTCCCCCCCCCTATTCGTCCTCTCTCTTTCTCTCTGCACTGCGCTCTGTCTTTTCTCTCAGTGCCTCTCCCTCCGCATCGTCCTCTGTCTCTCTCGTTCTCTATCTTTCTGCACACTGCGCCCTCTCTGTCTGTCTGTCCGTCTCTCTCTCCCTCTGTACGGGTGAGTCTTCAGATACAAAGGGTGGTGTGTGGAGCCTCTCTATCTTTCTCTCTTTCACTCTCTCTTCCTCTCTCTCTCTCTCTCCCCGTCGCTCTCCTCTCTCTCTCGCTCTCTCTTCCCCCCCGCCCCTCCTCCTCTCTCTCTTTCTCTTCCTCTCT